TTCTACATTCTGGAATGCCCCCATCTCTCACGGAGAGTGAATAAGAAGAGGATTTTTTTTTTTTTTTGACATTTATAAAGAACTGATTAAATGAACCACCGAAACTTGCACTTTGATCTTTCTTGAGCAAGAAGCTGTCGCAGCTGTAGGACACGGTTGTTGTCGAATTTTTATCACTGTTTTGTGGATTTCTTCATAGATATTGTTTTCTTTTTAAAGGAAGTTTGCTTTCAGGAATAGCGGAGAGTAAGAATATCGAAAAAGAAGAAAAACTGGATGAAATGGTGGAAGGCATTTTGACTCCACTGAAGGCATCTGCGGATGCTAAAGAATGCCTCGCCCGGAATCTCATCAAGTGTTCGTTTTCGCTCTTTTTTACCCGATAAATGAATTTTATATTCACCGCAAATGTCTGCCCTCATCTATCGTCTGCTGACCTATTACCCGTAACGTGAAGGGACTGCTTGCTGCTGGCTGGAAAAAATGTCTAATCTTCTCTTTCAAAATTCGCTTTCAAAATTCTAGTAAAAACATCTTCCCATGTTTGGACTTTATATCTCTGCCGGGCCACTTTCAAAAGGTTCATACTTAAAAATTAAGCTGACGTCGTGGTCTTTTACGGAAGTTTTGGGCGAAATTAAAACAGGTATTTAACAGAACAATAATAGGTTTTTTTTTGCGTTTTAGCACATATTATGCAAATGCAAAAGGAAAGGAGCCAAACCTGCTGGCGTGTTTTTCTCCCCTTACCAGATCTGCTGCTGCGCCGTTGCTTGAGTTCGAGGATTGCTTACAAACAAGTTGATAGCAGTTTTGACTGCCTGGCATGCACCATTACTAAATTACCATCGAAACGAATGGTCAATTCATAAGGAAGTGGGTTATCCTTTTTCCAAAAATGAGCTTGGTTTTTTTCGATGATAAAATTGCATTTTTTCAGACGAAAAAGCAGATGACAATAAAGCAGAAGGAAGTAATGAAGAAACGACGGAAGAAAATGAGGTGAAAATGGAAAACGGACATATCGGAGATGGCTTAACAGCAAGACGATGGCTCGTCACGGTGGAGCCCGTTGACGCACTTTCACTGGCTTGTACCCTTGGCGCAAAAGTAATTTCCCGTGTTTAGTGCTAAAAATTTAGTATATGTTTTTAAGCTGTCCTATAAAACATTTGAATCGCCAGAAGATTGATTAGCTGGTGATGCAGCATTAGTTAGATCAAGTGGAAAGCTGCCAGCTGCATAGTTGGAATACTATGCTATGTTTCGCAGTTGACCAAGGTACCAAAGCAGCGATGTCAGACAAACATTTCTTTTTCATGTTAAGGCGCATTGAATTTGTCTTAGTTTACGAAAAAAGAAAAGAATTCAGTGTTTTTTGCTTGAATTTTATCACATTTTCGATGTTACGATAGAAGTTTTAGGTCTGAGTTTTCAGGGGCGTATTTTTCGAGTTGATGACGGCATGGCCACATTGCTTGGTTACGTTTCGATGAGGGAACTGCTTGGCACCGAAATTTCGAAACTGATCCCAGCTGTTAAAGTTCGTTTCAGTTCTGTTTTCAAGAACAGTTCATTATATTACTGTGTCTCCATTTTTGTATAAGTAACGAGTTTTGCAGCTGGACTGTGACAATGAGGAGCAGCATGTTTGTGCACTTGGCGTTCGCGGTAACTCAATCCCAGTCACTGTGAGGATCAAGGCGGAAAGAGATCCAAAAAGTGAGGCTTTCTTCGGGTATTATAGGAGTGCTTGTAAAGTAGGTCACTTCAAAATGCATTTTACACAAAATCTAATGAAGTTAGTTTTCGTCTCGTTTACTGGAAAAAATAACTGGTCAGTGAGATTTAAAATGATTATGAGATCCCAGTACGGTTATTGATAAATGCAACATAAAATTGTTGCGTATCAGTAAATAGCACCTGAGTAGGCGACCTCGAGGAGCTGGTGAACATTGCAATGCAGCTTAAGAGCGATGGGTATCACAAAACTCTGCTCTACATGCGTGTACATCCCAGTGACACATTAGTGTCGAGAAAATAGAAAAGCAACAATCTAGTAGTCAGGAAGTAGAAAAAAAGAAATGAAAAAGAGCGTGCAAACAAGAAAAAATGAGAAATCTTATGAATGTGAGTAATTACCACCCCTCTCCGTGTCTCAGTAGAGTTACAAGTTAGTTTTGTACAGTTTTTTTTTTTGATCGCTCATTTTTCTGCTCTTTGGTCTGCTGTTTCTTAG